GGGTCATCCCCGCTGATCCATCTGAGTGCTGTTTGCCTCGTTTGCATTTTCCACTTTTGGCACCCGCAACAGTCGGGGGCGCTAACGCGCGCGGTGTAGGGGGTAACCCCTGCACCACAACCCTGGCGACAGAAAAGAGAGAACGCGAGGGGGAGGGTCTCGTGCTTTCTCTGGTTTGGGAGAGAGAGAGAGAGAGAGAGAGATTTCCCCTTGCGCCACAGCCCTGACGAAAGAAAGAGGGAGAGAGAGAGAGAGCCACAGCCCTGGCGAAAGAGGGAGGGAGAGAGAGAGAGAAAAAAAAACCCAAGCCCTATGGGAGATCCCGCATACCCGGTAGGGGGTTTCGTGCTCCCAAGCCCCAGACGCCCAGCAAGCAAGATAGAGAGAGAGGGAGACCCCGACTAGGTAGGCCCTAGGGCGAGGGGATATGGCCCCATACCCCTTGCCAGCAAGCAGGCAAGCGAGCGAGCGAGCCAGCAAGCCAGCAAGTCAGTGAGCGAGCGAGCGAGCAAGCAAGCCAGCGAGCAAGCGAGCAAGCGAGCAAGCGAGCAAGCGAGCAAGCGAGCAAGCGAGCAAGCAAGCAAGCAAGCAAGCGAGACAGAGAGAGACAGAGCGAGACAGAGCGAGACATTGCGAGACAGAGCGAGACAGAAAGAGACAGAGCGAGACAGAGCGAGACAGAGCGAGACAGAGCGAGACGGAGCGAGATAGAGAGAGATAAAGAGAGACAGGGAGAGTGAGAGAGAGAGAGAGCGAGTAGGGGGTCAAAGGCCTACACCATAGCCCTGGCGAAAGAGAGCGAGAGAGAGACCGAGAGAGGCAAAGAGAGATGCTGTGCGCTCTCCTTTGGCTGTGCAGAAGAGGAGACAGGTTCCGATCCCTCAAAACAATGTGGCAGCACAGTCCTTCACTTGCAATTATTACTTCTTTCAGTGCGGGGGAGGAACACATGTTGGCCGGCTGCACGTGTGTCCTTCGAGAGTATACAATCACCTAGTTCATCATCGTACACTTTATGGCAAGAGCCCTCTGGTGATTTATACTCGTTACTCACTCCCTTGTGCCTTGTGCCCAACAATATGTTGGGTGGGCATGTTGCCCGAAGGACTTGACCGTCCCTCATGCCCAGGAGAGAGAGAGCGAGAGAGAGAGAGAGAGAGAGAGACAGAGAGAAGCAGAGAGAGGCAGAGAGAGACAGAGAGAGAGAGAGAGAGAGAGAGAGAGAGAGCGAGAGAGGGAGAGAGGGAGAGAGAGAGAGAGAGGGGGGGATGCTCCCCCGTGACCCCTTTCTGCTTTCATTAGGTCGTGCAGGCTCGGGGGAAGTGCTGTTGTGATGTATGGTTATTATTTTCTCCTGTGACCTTGCATCCGTATCTTTTTACCGGAAACCGAGCATCCATATCATCTTGAAGGCCCCCACAAGGCCCCTAATACAGGGTGTCCCCGCACGAACCACGTACCACGTACCCTCTTTGTTCTCTCTGTCTCTCTCTCTCTCTCTGTTCTGTTCTGTTCTCCGGAACCTGAGGTGCGTGTCAAGCACCCCGCGCCGGATGGCGCACCGGTGCACTGTCTCACACCTCGTCCAAGTACCCACAAAAACTGGGGGGGGCCCATGTGGCCAGGGGGCCTGATACGCTCCTTTGCCCCTGTGGAAGAAG